TCTCCTTGGAACGTAGTCTTTGAGAGTGTGACGTATTCATCCTTGAGTAAAATAATCCTTTGTCTTGATACCGGGTCGAGAATTAGGGACAGAATATTACCTATCAACGTATAAATCCGTTGTAGGAAATCTATCGTTATAAGTATGTAACGGGTTGACGATAGTAAACGAATAGTTACAATAAATCTTTTGGATCCAATCCTATCTGAACGAATTTACGAGGATTGAAATTCAAAACGTAATCAGTGCAATCGATTAATTCACTGTGAGGTTTAGGTTTAACAAATGTTTGTTTGTTATAGACTTTAGCAATTGTAGCAAGAGAACCAGCCATTCTTAAAGCATACAAATATCGACTTAAGTTTACATAATATCAACAAGTTAAAGCAACGTCTGTTTATATAGAAAATCGTATAAAGATTATAGCGCTATGTATACACCACGGTGAAATTATTAACTAATTTAAACCAATAGAAATAATTAGTCTAATTGTTACCGATAGTTATGTTACAAACAGTTGTAAACACAGGCAGACAGGGTTAAAATAGGATGAACAGGGATTTGAATGCGTTCAGACAGGTTTTAACATGTTCAGACTTGTTGAATCGAGATTATATGATTCCAGGATACGCTGTTCGGTAAACCGACAGAGTGTCCTTACTACCTTTATAAACAGCCTACTACATACCATACATAGTACAACCTGCTATAATTATTATAGCGTATACTAAATTTTCTATATATATTCAATGTGTAAAACTCTTCTTTGTATTGCTTAGTACTACAGACTTATATTTAATATTCATTATGCACAAAGACATAAAGTGTAGAAAAATACAACAAAATTGTATTAAAATAAAAATATTATATTTTATTGAATTTTAAATCTTACAAGTTTATAATAATAAGTTTTTTAGCTTCGATGCGAAGCTGAGAAGGTATTGGTTTTACTAAGATGACGCGTTCATCGTTCGACTATTATAAATACAATAAAAGAAACCAGTACGCACCGGGTAAACGCGCTTTTCTCATACAACAATAATACAAAAGAAAAATTGGATCGAACACGTACTATACGAATTTAGTGTAATTAGAAGTAAGTTTTAGCTTAGATGCGAAGCTAAGAAGGTATTGGTTTTACTAAGATGTGTTTTTTTTTTTTTTTTTTTGTGTCTGTTACCACTTTTTCTCAGCTCTCACCGAACCGATTTCTTTCAATGATNTTTTTTTTTTTGTGTCTGTTACCACTTTTTCTCAGCTCTCACCGAACCGATTTCTTTCAATGATACGTCAAAAGATCACAAATCGTATCTAATCGAAGACATTACCCTTAAAAATTGAAAAAAATTCCCTCGTTTCCCGTAAATGGGGGAAACCTCTAAAAAAATTACAAATTTAAAAATCGCTAATTTTTGAAACTTTTTCAATTTTTTTTATTTAAAATTGCCATAACTTTTTCAAAAATGAACATATCAATATAATTCTTTTTTATATAGATGCATAATATCATTACCTTTCATTTGGTATATTTTTTTCATAAATTTAACCCTTAACCTGCCCGCAAGGGGGGATTTAAAATGACAACTTTTTCACAAAATATTAATTTTTTTAACTTCAATTTTGAAAATGTTCCGGAAAGTCTGACACTTTTATATATATCTTAAATTATAGCTAATTTATTATACTTTATCATGGTAAAACGGACTTCATCTTATCTTCACGGTGAAATTGAAAAAAATTCCCTCGTTCCCCGTAAATGAGGGAAACATCCAAAAAAATTACAAATTTAAAAATGGCTAATTTTCGAAATTTTTTCAATTTTTTTTACAAAAACTGCCGTAACTTTTTTAAAAATAAACATATCATTATAATTTTTTTTTTATAAATGCATGATGTCATTACCTATTATTTGGTATATTTTTTTTTATATTTGACCCTTTACCTGCCCATAGGGGGGGATTTAAAATGACAACTTTTTTTAAAAAAATTGACTTTTTCAACTTAAATTTTGAAAGTGTTCCGGAAAGTCTGACACTTTTATATATATCTTAAATTAAAGCTAATGTAGTATATTTTATAATGGTAAAAAAAAATTTCGTACTTTATTTTATCTTCATGGTGAAAATAGACATCAAACTTAATAAAAAAAATACGATTTTTGTAAAAAAATTCTTTTTTATATTTTTAACTTTATAATGCTATAACTTTTTGAAAGATGTATGGATCAATATAATTCTTTTTTATGTAGATGCATAATGTCATTACCTATCATTTGGTATATTTTTTTTATAAATCTGACTTTTTACCTGCCTACAGGGGGGGGTTCAAAATGACAACTTTTTCACAAAAAATTGACTTTTTCAACTTAAATTTTGAAAGTGTTCCGGAAAGTCTGACACTTTTATATATATCTTACATTAAAGCTAATGTAATCTACTTTATTATGTAAAAAAAAATGTTGGACTTTATTTCGTCTTCACGATGAAAATGGCTACCAAAGGCTATTATTGTGTGAAAATTCTCAATTTTATTTTTTACATTTTTAACTATATAATGATATAACTTATTGAAAAGTGTATGGATCAACATAATTTTTTTATGAGAAATAATATTTTTTAATAATCCCTTTTTCATTCGACATACGTTATCTGAATTAGGATATTAATAACAAACTAGCAGATCATGTTGCTTTTGGTATAATCCACCAATTTTTTAAAATTAAACACTGTCTAAAGATTTGCATCGAAGCGTTATATTTTGATAGTGATTTTAATCACTGTCAGATATCATTATACTTGATCCAACTATGCCACGTCACCACTGTGCCGCGACCCCCCTGTGCTGGGTTTTTTATTTTATATATATAAGTTTAAAAAACAAGGAAAAATATTAACAAATTACTGAAAATCAAACAAATATGCATTTCCACTTTTGCCTCTATAAAATAAATGTAATTTGTTTTAGTCATTGTTGATATTGTAGGCTTCGATTTCTTCATTAGTTAATTTCAATTTCGGGATAAACACATTTATATTGTTGAATAGACAATCAACAACGACAACCCCATTTCGTGTGCTTGTATTTTTCATAGATATGACATTGTATGGCGTGTGTTCCTCCAGATCACTTAATTTTGAATATCTTTTTAATGTAGTCTGATCGTTCAACTGTTTCTTTAATTGCTCCATTTTAAAATAAAAAATTAATTAAGTTTTAAACAACTCTAAATATAAGCTAGTAACCAAAGTCAGTAGCAAACAGTTTAAATGAAAAATATATACAATATATATATTAAATAAAAATATATAATATATATATAAAAATATATTGTTTGTAACAATGAGAACAATAGAAACCCGTTTCCTGACTTACTGAACACCCTGTATAAATGTATTACTTACTTTATTTTATATCAAAAGCCAACAAGTGATAGAAATTCTTTAGGACAACTAATAGAAATAATCAGACAAATGGTTTTTGGTAGAATCGCTTTAGAAAAGATAGTGAGTGAATGAGTCTGAAATTGATGTGACGTTCTTTTATAGGGGTTGAAGATCTTGTTTAGACAAGTTTGGGTTGGTTTAAATAGGTTCAGATACTACACAAATAATGTTGGAAATATGCTTACCTAAGCGTCTGGCATCCGATTATAAGATTCATAGAAAACGTTGTTAGTTTAAGTTAGATTCATCTCCACCCATTACAGGTTAGTTTATGTCAAGATTCATTACCCACTCCCTCTGTAGGAATCGTTGACGGAGACTCTACAGCGTTAATATTAAGTAAATATGTAAAAGTTATGTAAACACGCCCCTCCCCATATGAATGGTATGGTGAGGGGTGAGGCGGGGGAACCAGAATTCCCAATATTACCCTACTTATATTTATTTTTCACTTTTTAGTTTCATGTTATGATAGTTGTTACTATCAATATCTTAGTTGTTACGAGTAACGGGAAATCAGAGTTCGATTCCGGAGAGGGAGTATGAGAAACGGCAACCACACCCAAGGAAAGCAGCAGGCCCACAAATTATCCACTCCCGGAACGTGAGGGTAGTGACGAAAACTAACGGTACGGGAAACATCCCCCGTAATTGAAATTAATACACTTTATATCTTTTAACGAGAATAAAAGCGTGTTAATATATAAATCTTAATAGTAATTAGAATATGTATATATATATAAATATATATACAAGTAAAGCGACTTATGTACGTAAACGTATCATGCATTAGGTATAGCCGTTTTTGTGGGCGCGTGGGTAGGACTAACGTTATACCTGAGGTATAAACGGCGGTAGGAATATATACGTAAGATGTGTGGCACGCGGATGGTATTGGTCAGTCAAAATAAAAATTTGTTTATATATATATATATAATATTGATGACAAGCACGCATGTACGGGTACGATAACCAAAAATAAAATTTTACAGGAAAATATTGTAGGATTTGTACAGTCCAACATGTGAGTTAAACTGCGAGTAGATGCCGAAATTGCAGCTAGAGCGCGCCACCTAATTGATGCTAATCTAAACAAATAATATATACATATATTTATTTGTTTGTTAAATACTTATTTATATCAAACTTTATTGGTTATTATAACCAATAAAGTTGATTATTTTCAATATCAACACAATGTTGATATTGAAAAATTGTCTAAAATTAAAAGTAAAATGATTTATTTAAAAATATTAAGCGTTCATTAATAATTTTAATATTCCGCTCGCCCTACAATATTTGTAGTTTAATTGTACATTACACCAGGCTATGGACACTTCGATATGTAAACAAAAAGTAGCAGCCATTTTATTGTAGGTATTGATATTATCATTTTTGTTGTCATGATAAAAAATTATACTGGTTGAGTAAAAATGTATATTATAAGAATTTTACTTTTAATCATTTTATTTCATTATTTCATTAATTTTCCATCATCTTTTATACAATAATTAATAAAATGGTTCATGTTTGTATTGTAAAAATTTGCAATAACTCGAGAATTGCTACCAAAAATTAAAATTGTAAAATGTTTAAAATACCAAGGATTACAATAATATAATATAATAATACAAGGATTTTCCTCGGTTAGTTTTTTTTATTACAAATTAATAAAAACAATATTTGTATCTTAAAAAATCTTAAACTTATTCAATAGTTATAAAGAATGGTTACAAAAATGCAACAGAAATGATTTGTTACTAGTGATACATTAAATAAGTATTATATGGTTTTCAATGTTCATTTCAAACCTAATATGTTTTCTAATCCAGAAAAGACTAGACTTCTTTCTAATGCTTTCCTACAGAGTTTTGTAAGTATTAATCTGGTATATAGTGTTTTATTATTTAAATTACAATTAAACAATTTTAAAATCATAGAGATTAATTCTACTGATGTAGAAGATACACTGAATGTATGTGAGGAGAATATCACTCCACCAAAGTTGCCAAGTCCTCTGGAAATAAAATATAAAAATTTTAAATTAATTTAGTTTAAGTTTTATATATCTTATTTTTTTAAAAATATTAAAGAACATGATAATTTTGAACAATACCATCTAAACTTATATGAAAATAGTTGATTTATTATTTTGTCATTATTTCAATGAAGATTATTTTTTTTTTGAAACCATTCATTAGTCAAAAATCAATTATTAAATATTTTTAGATAATTTTACTGGTAATTTCATATTGGAAGAGTATAAAATGCAAGATAGCCCAGCTTCATCATCATCCACTCAAACTCCTCAGTTGCTTACTTTACATACTCCTATAAAAAAGAAATTGAAACTTGTGAAAAAAATATGTGCTGAACTTCAAAAACAGGTTACTTTTTTGAGTCAACAAATATCTACTAAATTAAATTTTGTCAATTATTTTTGTGAAATGTGTGATATACATTTATCTCCTAATTTTTTACTAATTATAAAAAAAATTGTGAATCTTGCTCTTAAACTTTAACTTAAATACTCCACCTTATGAGTTTGTAATTTATATTAGTGAATTAGATAATATTTTTATAGATGGATTTCCAATAATTGCTTTAAACAATAATGTAGGAAAAGAAATGAGAAATTTAGTAAGTAATATTCCCTTTAAGCATCCATGTCCAAACTTTGATTATGAGTTTTTAAAAAATCTTCCAATAGACTGAGAATATTTTATTCTTTAAAATTTTTAAACATAAATATTTTATTAAAACCGAGAAAACATAGGAAACTTGATATACTTACACTTTTACAAAATACATTTACATATTTTAGATTATTTGAAAAAGTTTTTATTGTATTTTAATTTATTAATTGTGCAATTATAGTAAAAATTATGTGATGAATATGTATGATGATTTTTAAATTTCATTATTATATTGATTAATTTTTTATTGATTTTAGATTCAATGCAAATCTGAGAAGTATTAATTTTACTATATTGTATTTTATAAAACAATTTATTCGAAATTAATAAAAAAATTTGGAAGTTTTTGTATGGAATATTTAAAATATATATATTTTAATAGAACACGAATCATTATTTAATATTTATAATTTCCAAATTTAAAATTGTTACTTTAAATTTTGAAAAAGGGTATACACAATTTTAGAGTTAAACAATGGTCACACTGATTTACCTACATAAAAATGGCGGACTGATTTTAATCACCTCCCTATATTTGCTGTGTAAATATTTATCAGTGTCCATTCTGTTTATTCTGTACACATTCAATACCTTGCTAAAAATATATTAGAGGTAATAAAGTTAATTTTTCTAAAATGATCTCATATTTTTTACTAATATAGTGTCGTAGCACAAAACAAAACTTGCAAGGAAGGTCATACAGCAATTACCGTGCTCGGCTGACACTCCGGATTAGCTGTGGGTGTCGAAAGGCCGTTGTTATAAGAAGAAAATAAGGGTAACACTTTGGTATGAGGTACAGACGAAGCGCAAGACACAAGAACTCTGAAATGTCGAGGACGAAAGTAGGTAGATGAAAATGAAAAACAAAGACTTAACTTTATGCAGTAAGCCGGACAGCGACAATCGAGTACTAAGACTGAATGACGCAAAGCACTAGAATCGACTGATCACGATGTCCAGGTCTTTTAACTTTAAATAGTAATTCGAACGATTGCCAATTTTGCAATAAATATTAATCCACAATTCATTAGTTTCTAGAATCGGATGCCCTGTCTGTGTTTTATGATAATAGTTTTCTATAATTATGGCAACGTGACATAGTAGCAATTGTTTATTTAACTATAATAATAATTATATTTTTGAAATCCTCGTAATATCTTCTATTGGATAATAGTAGCTCTTAGTTAATCATAATAAATGTTATTATGAAAAGTTAAATTTTTTTTT